TGCTACTCCGGGTACGCCTGCTACTTCTTCAACTTCCTCTAAATCTTCAAAACGGATTTTCTGCAATTACTGCAAGAAGACTGGTCATATTATCTCTGAGTGTCGTCGCAAGCCAAAAAGGCGTCTGGACAAAAGTCCTCTTCCGTGGGTTCTCAGGCTTCGAGTTCTACTGCAACTGCTGCCATAGAGGATTCTTCTGATAACACCTCTCCAAAATTTTCTCTTCGAGACCTCCAAGCCCTTCTTCACTAGCTCTGACCTGCTTCTGGTAGCCCTTCTTCACCAGCTCCAACCTGCTTCTGGTATGCCTTATAATTCAGTCTTGTCCGTCACTCCAGGTACTACCTCATCATGGTATTTTGATTTTGGATGTTGCAATCATATGACATCCAATTCATCCCCCTTTGGTACCACACAACCTTTAACCTCTTCGACTGCATCTACCTTGGCTATGGATCTTCCACCTCTACTTTCTTCTGAGCCCTTGATTGCTCCTAATGAGTTCGACTCTGACCTTTATGATGCTCCACTCTGTCGTTCTGGTAGGGTCACTAAACCTTCTATTCTTTTTCGTGAGTTTCATTGTTATTCTACCATTGTATCTTTATACGAGCCTTGCACCTATCACGAGGCTAGTACTAACCCTCTATGGCAGAAAGCAATGGCAGAAGAAATTCAAGCTCTTACAAGCACTCACACTTGGGATTTAGTTGACCTGCCTCCAGATAAATCCGTGATTGGTTGTAAATGGGTCTACAAAATCAAGACCCGGGCAGATGGTTCCGTTGAGAGGTATAAAGCTAGATTGGTAGCTAAARGGTTCACACAGGAGTATGGCATTGATTATGAGGAGACTTTTGCCCCGATTGCCCGTCTCACCTCTATTCGCAGTCTTATTGCAATTGCTGCAGCTAAGCACTGGCAGCTATTTCAGATGGATGTTAAGAATGCTTTTCTCAATGGCGATCTTTCTGAAGAGATTTATATGCAGCCCCCTCCTGGTTATGATCATCTCCGTAATCAGGTTTGTCGTCTTCGTAAGGCTCTATATGGACTTAAGCAGGCGCCTCGAGCATGGTTCTCCAAATTCAGCTCTACTGTTTGTCAGTTTGGTTTTAAATCTAGCACTTATGGTCATGCCTTGTTCATCCGTAAGACCTCTCAGGGTTGTGTACTTCTCCTTTATGTGGATGACATGATCATTACTGGTAATGATCTGTAGGGCATTTCCGATCTTAAGACTTTTCTTAGCAAACAGTTTGAAATGAAAGATCTTGGTTGCCTCAATTATTTCCTAGGCATTGAGATCTCCTCCGACCAATCAAGATATTATCTGTCTCAGGCCAAGTATGCTACTGATCTTATTTCTCGTGCATGACTCACTGATACTAAGACTGTTAATACTCCGATTGAGCCTAATGCCCATTTTATAGCCACTGACGGTACTCCTCTTAGTGACTGCACCTTATATCCGCAACTGGTTGGCAGTCTTGTATACCTTACTGTCACTCGTCCTGATATTGCGTATGCTGTTCATATTGTAAGTCAGTTCATGTCTGCCCCTCGCACTACTCATTATGCTGTTGTGCTTCGTATCATCTGTTATGTCAAGGGCACTTTGTTTCATGGACTTCACTACTCCAGTTCTTCTTCTCTTCAGTTGATCGCATAATCTGATGCTGATTGGGCCGGTGATCCTACTGATAGACGCTCCACTACTGGTTATTGCTTATTTCTTGGAGATTCTCTTATATCTTGGCGTAATAAGAAGCAAACGGTTGTCTCTCATTCCAGGACTAAAGCTGAATATCAAGCTCTTGCTGACACTACTTCCGAGCTGTTATGGTTACGATGGTTACTCCATGACATGGGATTTATTCATTCATCTGCAACCTCACTTTACTGTGACAATCGTAGTGCCATACAGATTGCCCACATTTGATGTATTCCATGAGCGCACTAAGCATATTGAGACTGATTATCACTTTATTCGTCATCATGTGCTCGAGTGTACTGTTCGCCTTGTTCCTGTCCCTTCCCAGGATCAATCTGCCGATATATTTACCAAAGCTCACTATCCTCTTCGCTTCCGTGCTCTAGTTGGCAAACTCCAGATGATTGGCACATTACCATCTTGAGTTTGAGGGGGGATGTTAGTATTCTATCAACATTACTATCCTAGAATTAAGGAGAGATAGTTATCCTATCATTATCTCCTTAATTCTAGGAGAGATAGTCCTATCGGAAATTGGTGTACATATCCTCCTTGTATTCTAACTTAGCTAGCCGACCTTGTATCCCTGTTCTATTATAAATAAGGGTTGTAACCTGTTTAATATATGTATCAAGAAATATTCTTTTTTTTCTCTCTATCTATTTTCTTGGCTTATTCATATCACCCATATTGAAAGAGAAAGAAGAAACCGCATCAATATTTGTTAGAGAATAAAAACATATTCAAGGACCTCAACTAATAAATTAAGTTTTTATGTTGAATGGGTTTTTGAAATGATATCAGAACCTAATTGTTTGATCAAAGGGTCCAATATTTGATCCTCATCACCTCCATTATAATTAGTTAAATTTCAACACAACATATGGGTAGGCCTGTGCTCGTGTGAGGGGGCATGTTGGAGAATAAAATCCTATTCAGAGACCTAACCTAAGAGATTAAGCTTTTAGGTTAAATTGTTCCTTGAAAATACATCAATTGACATATATCTAACTTGGTAATTTAAAAGAATAAGACATATGCGCTCTAATTAATAAGAATTAATTTTGTTCACTCTTCTTGAACCATGGTTTTGAGTTTCATAACTCAGCTGAAAAAATTTATTTTTTTGGCAAAACTTCTCTTGGAATCTTAAGCTTGGGTTTTATTTTTTTATAAATACTTGTTTGCAGTTGCTTTTTGCCAAGCTTTTTCAAGATCTTGCTGGCCCAGTGACCTAACTTACCATTTAATTAAAAATCCTACATTTCTTCTTTACAAAATCAAGTAAAGATTAGGATGAAAATTACCTCAATATATACAAACCCATTTTTAAATTAGGTCTCATTTGGCGCATCTTTTTAAAATAGCAGCCCACGCTTTGATTTTTAAATCAGGTAAGGACTACAATGAAAATTACCTCAATATATACAAACCCATTTTTAAAACGACAACCCACATTTTGGTCTTTTCTCATTTGGTTGGGAAAAGATCTAGCTGAGAAAAGCCACAGCCCCAAAAGTAGGAAGCCCATTTCGGGCTATTTTCGGGAACCTCCAAATGGAGCATTTCACCTTTTTTCAACATGTCTTCATGTGAAAAGACGTGCCTTAACCAAATGGCCTTCAAGCTGCTAATAATTTAATGCAAAAGCTCACATCGTCTTTTGATTGTCAGGTTTCCCGAAAGATCTTCTACAAAAGACTTGCCAAACGGAACCTTAATCCCTTTTCATTGATAACTTGAGAGTTGAGAGCTTATATGTTTTAGGATTCAAAGAGTAATTACACATCTTATAGTAATACAATACATTTGTTGCTTGTCTTTCACATTGATCTAAGTTGAGATTTCATCAAAACCAAGACAGTTGGATATCTATCTATATCTATATTTATACTACCTATAAAAGAGCAAATGCCCCTTTTTTTGGAATTTTCATTGGGCATTTTTTACCCTTTTGTCTAAGCATAAAATGGGTATAAAGAGGGCATATATGTCATTTACTCTCATTTTAGAAACTAGCCACTTATAACCTTTCAAAAACTGCTAAGGTGTTGAAACCGTGAATTATAATTGTTTAGAAACTACCCACTTAATACCTTAATTAATTCTTAGATAAATGAATTATAAAAGTGATCATAAATTATAAATAGTTTTGTCTTAGAGATACTGCCGCATGCAAATGCGCATACAGATTTACTAGTTGCTATTAAAATTGGGAATAAGTTATAGATTCTAGACTTTTTATTGATTAAAAATACCCCTATTTTAAAATTTTCTCCCTATTTATTATAAGAGCAAAAATGTTATTTAAACCATTGATTTTATTAGGTTCACTAGCAAGGACCCATGCGATGCACAAGAAAATCTGAAAGATTTAATAATTTTATTTACTATTAATTAATATTAAATTAATAATAAAAATTTATTGTTAATTAACTAAAAGTATTTAAAGTTATTGTTAATATCTAGTACTTTTCATTTAATATTGATTTACAAAAAATAATTATTGTTAATTTAATATGAATAAATATTTTTTGAGCGATGCATGGAAAAATTCAAAAATTGATTAATTTTATTAATTAATAACAAATAAAAAATTAAATAATTTTGGGAAGTGTTAATTTATTGGTAATTGAGTGACAAAAAGTTTGTGCTTTAAAATTAGAAATTAATGAACAATAAAAGATGGGTATGTAGAAACTTCCCATTCTTATGGGAATTTAGGAGAAAAAAAAGCAATCCATTCCAGTGGTAAATAGTGAGGCTTTTATGTGATGATTTTGGGTCCAACTCAAACTCAATAAAAACTCGAGAAATTTTTGTATGTTATTATAAGCTCAAATGAGTCACCTAGGCTAAAGCTTATGAAGGTTCTCTATATTATTTTGTCCTTGGTACAATCATCAACCCATTTAAATGCCAATAAGCACTCTCTCTCTCTCTCTCTCTAAAGTGGGTCTTAGTGAAATCCAACCATTTTCTACGGTGATCAGCCCACTCGATTGAATCAAGACAACTCGAGTGGGAGCTAGAGAATGCAGGCAACCAGTCTAGTAATATCATTAACATTATAAGGATCTCTTAATCGGGCCAAGTAGGAAAACTTGTTACATGACTCCACCTGCTTTTGTCATGTGAATGAGTGCTATAGCAGAAAGTTGAATGTTAAAATATATATACTGCATCATTATTATACTTTTAACCCAAACATCTTGGTTGTGACAGAGGGCTTCGTAATTCCTCCAAATTATATGTTTCTGGTAGGATAAGTCATTTATCAAGGAGCTTGAACCCAATAAGAACCTATTCTATTTCAGCCGTCTAACTGTGTCTTCAGTTCACCAATAACATGCATGTTTTATGAAACTTGAGAATTAGAAAGAAGAAGAAGAAGAAGAAAACCCTTCAGCATTTCCTGCCTTGCAGAACTCCCTGAACTGTGTAGCCTCGTTCTATACCTTTTTAGCTCCAATGCTGCCAACAAATGACCTTCCGTTAGTGTCTTTTTATTATGAAACTTGAGAAATAGAAAGAAGAAGAAGAGGAAGAAAACCGTTAATCTTTTTCAACATACTTGGTGTAAGCCGGTGGATTTAGCACTCGTGGTCTATCTTGGAAAGCCAGAGGAAAATGACCATGGGGGTATGTCAGAGGTTGCAAAGAGAGACTACAAAATTTGAAGTGGTGGGACTGAGGAGAAAGAAGGGAGAGAATTTGGGTTTTGGGTCTATTGAGTATATTGGGCTGGGCCCCCATGGGGGTATGGGGCTCCTATATATGATATTTTCTCATTTAATTAATAATTAATATTTTAGAATGTTCTGACAGTGACATTAAAGATTAACCAGTGCAAATACCTTCAAGTAAATATTGGATTCGGACAGATTTGATTTAACTTGGGTTCATGCTGGGTCAACTGCATTAATGTACTTTAATAAACTTACTGGTTTGTATTTAATGTACATAAACTTATTTGGGCCATCAATATTTTGGGCCAATGGGGTTATTTTATACTTTTTTTCCTACTCTAACCTTTGAAGTCCATCAGGGTTGCATCTTGCGTCGTGAGAAAATGATGAAAGCTACTGAAACAAAACGCTGAGAAATGTGAAAAAGCATGGTTTCTTTTCAGGTTGGAATATGATCATTACTTCTCTCCAGAGTCCAGCCCATCATTCCAAAAAAAAAAAAAAATCAAACACTTCCTGTCATCCTTCTAAGGACTCTTTTGTGGGATGGATAATCATCTTACGGCTTCATTTATGCTGATTAACCCAATCTTATTCATGGAAGGCAACATGATCACAGTATGAATTCCATGATTGGGCTTTGAAGGACAATCTTGTGAACTAGTGAAATATTTGCTTGCAAAGAAAATTAGAGAATGAGAATGCTGAAAAGTAAAAGAAATCAAATGCAAAGTCAACTGAATAAGAACCAAACAGCAAGAAGACAAGAACAATAAAATTTGATGGAAGGCAATGTACCTCTCAGGGGAATTCAATATCTCATAGTAAAAGACAAGTTCAAGGCCAGGCCAAGCCTAATTGGATGAGTTGGTGGCAGATCTGTTGCAGCAAATATTAGTGGCAGCCTGCATCATTGCAAGGAACAGAATTATCAAAGCAATTAATATGAATGTGTTGGAGATAAAGCCAGCAAAACAGTGACAAGCTGACCAGACCTGGTAAGACTTGAGTGACTGATCTGCAGCCTCCTTACGATCAACCCCAGTTTTAAATTCAGCTAGGTACCGGTAGTAGTCTCCCTTCCTAGCAATGAAAAAGTTGATAGATCATTTCAATATAGGAACAAAATGTGAAAACCAAGTAAAGCTCAAAATTAAGAAAATCTCTGAAAGGAATAGTAATAGACCCGCTGGGTCTGGAATCTATTTTTTTCTTTTCTTTTCCATATAAGGGCCCGTTTGGTTCACAGGAAAAAGGGGTCTGGAATCAAAATCAGGAAAAGGGCCATTCTGATTCCAACTGTTTCATCTAATTTACCACCACCATGGATGGTTGCATCTAGATCCATTGTACTGTACTGTATGGCTGTTCTCCAACCAGCTGCAAAATACAGAGTACAATTTTTTATAGCTCTTTCAAGTAATTCACAAAGTTTGATGATGTAAGCAAAGCATGACATGGCAATTATACGGAGGGTCTTACAAACATATATATATATATATATATATATGTATGTATGTATAGATTCTCTAACAATAATGTCCGTATTCAATAATGAATCACACATACAATCAATACTCAGGTATTGGTGGGACAAATCCACTATAAACAGATGATCATAGAAAGAGAGAGAATCAAGAGAGGCAGAGAGATGATATAGTGATAAGATTAAACTAATCTAAACAAGTTAATCTAAATGGGCATCACTGAGGTCCCAGAAAAGCTATAAATTGATCAATTAAAAACGAAGGTAGGATAACAGTCTACTAAATTTGCATTGCACATAACTCTGGAAAGTTCCCTCAGAATAGCAGCTTACATGGAAGAATTATATCAAAAGATTCAAAACCAGAATATGCATAACTGCAGTTATTCTAAATTCACGCCTAGATTCTAATCTTTCTTGCCTCCTGCCTAAAGGATTCCTGATTCTATCATTCATAATGGGCATTACTCATATTTTTTTAACATGTTTGAGGGTCTCTCACCCTCCATTTTTCTAAGTGGGTTGGGGTCTTGAGTTGCTTTTCATTTGTAGGTTCCGTTCTGGGTGGTGGGTTGTTACTTTGGTTCTGGTGGTTGGTGAGTGCTCTGTGAAACACTGGTTATGTTTGTGGGGGGTGCCTTTCCTCTTGTATATGTTTGCACCCCTTATATTCTATCTTTGCAATAAATTTTTAGATTTACAAGCCAAAAGAAGAACCTTCAAATAGCATAAAGCCATGACATACCTGGAACCTATTCAATCTCAATAGAACAAATGTAGTGTTGCTACAGATTGTATACTCATCAAACCATGATCTAACAGTCTTCTGGTCAATATCTCAATAAAGTCTTGTGAAGACAGAGCATTTGAACCTCCTCTGCACACAGGCAAAAGCTACAGTAGGATTGATAAATTGGAACCGAAGTATGAAAATAACAATTTGTTAAAGATAACGAGGTTAGGGCTAACCAAGTAACTGTAAGAAAGACCAGCAAAAAAAAAGTGCACTGTTCCCTCTTTCTATATGAAGTAAAGATAACTAAACTTTTGTTCTAGGAAAGTGAATCATGGAAATGATAAATCATAAAGGCTTCTTTGAATAATGGAGACCATGTACTTAAACAAGCATGGTGTTGTATGAAATGAGACATTAAAAAAAACAAGTGAAATAATACATCATATTTATAAAAGAGAGATAGGATCCCTCAAACAAGCTTTCCAAAAAGCCAGCCAACAACAGTCACTATACATTAAGAGCTAGCCAGCGTATGGTTGCTATCATACATAATTCTATACCAATCATTACAAAAAAAATGGAGTATGTACATATTGAGAACTCCCTGTAGGCTCCTACTCAAGAAAAGGGAAGCCTTTCCATTCTCCCAATCAGCAATATGAAATAAGTCGTAACAGAGCCAACATGAACTTTGAGAAGAGGCACTAAACAGGTGCAGTATAAAGTTGAAACCCGTTTCAGCTACTTTTGAGGAAAAAAACCATGAAAACCAATTTCTAGATCTCCATTATGGTCCTGAATATAAGGCAAAACAGGCTGATAGTGAGAAAAAAGAGCAAAAACAAGTAGAGTGAATTAAAATTTAAAAGAGAACGCAATCTTCTAGACATAATCACATAAAAGTCATTGTCAACTACTACAGGTTAGCAGAGGAAAGGTAGGGACTAAAGGTGGATAAAGGGACATCCAGGGTCCATTTGGTTCCTGAGAAGATTGGTCTGAGAAAGGAAAGGATGGGAAGGGATGAAACATAAAACCCCTGTGCACATGTTTAAGCACATTCATGGGACAAACTAAAAGATTAGGCATTACCTCACAGATTAGGCTTGGAATCAGTCTTCGTTCTGCAAAATAGGGTGGAGAAAAGTGCTTTAATCTACAAAAATCCAAATATAGCAGATCTAGATCACAAAACCCCATGTACATGAAGCAGACGCTGCTAGAATCAGTGGTTTTCAGAACAGGGGCAACTAGTTATTGTCAGTTCCCTAAAACCACAAAGAAAAAAAAATGGGCAAACAGGTATGCCCAAACCAACTGGCGTTGTCCCAGATAAACCATTTCTAGATACAACGATTGCTGGGAGGGGGTAAACAATGGATTGGGGGAGAAGAATTTCCCATCAAAACTATGAAAAAGAGGGCTTAATCGAATCAGTGTTGCGAGTAGAAGGCCATTCTGGGTAAGCGAGCAAGCGAAAGAAATGACTGATAACAAGCGAACACAATAATAAAATGAATACTAAAGCAATTTTAGTATTAAACTAAACCAGCGAAAGGAGGATATCTATCCTAGGTCATGTAGGCTTTCAATTTAACCTTCTATCGGTGATGAACGAACAATGCTGCGTGAGGAAATTAACTAGAGCTTCAGATCCATCTCCCACTTCTTACACCCTAAGTTGGCCGAGGGATCAGATCAGACAGAGATCAGATCAAAGTTGGCGGAGGGATAAGATCAGAGAGAGAGCGAGAGAGGGATGACTGAGAGCGAGGGAGATCTAGAGAGGGACGACTGAGTGAGAGAGAGGCAGAGAGACGATTGAGAGAGAGAAGCATATCGACGACTGAGTAAGAGAGAGAGAGAGCGCGCGAGAGAGATGACTGAGAGCGAGGGAGATCTAGAGAGGGACGACCGAGTGAGGGAGAGGGAGAGAGACGACGCGCGAGAGAGACTGAGAGAGAGGGGGCGGGAGAGGCATGAATGTTTTTAGCGGGCGAGAAAAGGCGGGAGGTAGCGTTTGGCCTCTAGCGGCAGTTTTAAACGACTGCCTCTATAAATCTATTTTTCTAGCGGCAATCGCCAAACAGCCGAATCGAAAACTGCCGGTAGAAATCTTTTTTCTTGTATTGTCAAAAACTTCAATGTTCCTAAAACCTTCAATAAGTAAGAGAACTGTTAGTGCTGGGAATAGAGAAACCAAATCGGTTCCAAATGTGTTACTGAGAGAGATTGTACATCAATGCAGAATTGTGAAAGGGAAGTCTTGGTAAAATGCACCAAACCAAACCACGTTGTATTAGAAAAAGAAAACAAATGAAAATGGCTTGTTAAAGAAAAATATCTCTAGGATTCGGAAAAGAAAAAATAAAAGATTTTCAAGCAGAGCATAATAGTCATCAATGAGTAATGAGCAAGTTTCTTACCTTTCTCATCGACACGTGTATTTGTGAAGGAAATCAAACAAACAGTATAGAGAAGAATGAGAATTTCTTCTACCTTAATTTAATATATAGAAAATAAGGAAGATAAAAACAAAAACCCTAAGAATGAATCACTAATAACAGGGAAGTTTATTTATCCTTTTTACCTATAATGTAATGTGCTTTGGTTCAACCAACACCTCGTCTTCCTGAGGACTGCTTGGCATCAACCTTAGGACTCTCAGAGAGTCCAAGATTCTGTGAAGAAGCTATCTATCTCATGGTGGAAATTAGATGCTTTGTAGGGTTCGGAGGTAGAGTCAATAAAAAGTTCTTTCACTACTAATCAGCCTCTCCAATTTGACAATCTCATCTTTCATAGCTTCTACGCAGAGACCACAGATCCACTGACCTTGATATCTCTCCCATAGCGGATGCTGGCGTACAAAGACATAGAGGATTCTAGGGTTTTGCCCAAAACAAAGAAAGGGGGACATTGGATTTTCACTCAATACAGAGGTAGAACTCAGGATAGAGAGAGAGATGGGGGAGGGGAAAGAGATATCTCTCGTTATGGGTTCTTTCCCTCGGGGCTTGGTGGAGGGTAGGAGACATCTTGAAAGTCGAAACGTCTCTCTTGTTTCATTGGTTTTCTTACAAAATACGTGGATTAAAAAAATAAGAGAAATAAAAAAAAACAGACATTAGAATGGGGTTTTCCTGCAAGGAGAGGGCTGTGACATGAACAGACCAATTATATATATATATAGATTCTATTCCCTTTCAATTAAGTCCTATATTTAAGGTATTAATTCTCATTCCCTCCCTTTAAATCCTATATTTAAGATATACTAAATAAATGAGTGTTGAGAACATTTTCTTGACTAAAACACCATTTTCAATTAAGTCCCTCCTATCACCAAATTCCATCTCATTAAGTCCTTTATTGAGGGTATCAACTCCCATTCTCCCTCATCCGATCCTTTATTTGAGGTATTTTTGTTTCTTATCAATAAATTCTACCAATCGAATCTATATCCAATAATTTTAATAATATAAAGTTTGTATTTAAAATGACATGAAAACAAAGTCGCCCTTTTGTCTAGGTAGTGAGTAAATAGTTCAACTATTTGAGTTAAAAGGGGCAACGGATGTTGTCATAATTAAATAACAAAAATTTCAAATAAAAGGATGAAGACAAAAAATATATAAAAAATGTTTGTAGAAAACATTTGGATACATCTCTAATATAACGTATTTATCATATTAAACAAAAATATGTGCAATAAATGATAATCATTTTTATTAATGATGAAAATAGAATAAAAAAATTAAACTAGAAAAGAAAGTTGTCTTTCCATCTAAGTCAAGGTCAATTGTCCATGGGGGTGCAACTTGGTTGGGTATAGTCTAAGCCTGAATAGACCCTACCTTTAATTTTAGATAGGTTGAGCTTGATTTTCAATCCTTGGTCAAAGATTGGACCCAAAAGTTTGGGTTTTTCTATTTTTTGGGCTGGCCTGAGCATAGCCCTTAGGTAGCCCGAACCTAGTCCAATTGTGCACATACCTACATAATATATGTACACTCATTTGTAGACATACATACATACATATTTGCATGATGCATACGTATACAGATACATTTATATCAAATTTAGTATAAGCTAATTGACAAACATGAGCCCAACCTAATTCATGTTGGGCTTGAGTTTGATAGATCAGACTTGACCTCAGGCTTGTCCCTAGGCCCAATTCTTACAATTGGCCTTGGGTTGAGCTTAAACCCCATCCAACCTGCTTAACGTGCACCTCTAATGGTCTAACTATTTGGGTAAAATGGTTTAACAAATAATGGGATAATTAAATAATAAAAATAAAATGTAGATAGAAATGCAAAAATTACAACAATACAAAAAATATAGAAAATTTTTGGCATATCTCAAACATTATAAATTTATCATATTAAACAAATATGTCATAAGTATGGTAAAAAAGACTTATTTTTATAATTAATTATGAAAATTGAATAGATATTTTAAGGCCACCCAAAAAAGAGTTTGTTGTTTCTTCAAGTTAAATGGGTCAACAAGTTATGCCATGATGATATAATAAAACTCAAAAAAAGGTAGAAATAAAAAAAAATAGAAGACGTAAAATTTTATGGACATCTCTAATATTATATATTTATCATATTAAATAAAAATAAATATGATAAATAAGAAATATTTTTATTAATAATAAAAATGAAATATAAAATTTAAATTCTCATCACACCATGCTTTGGTGTGACAAAAGCCACTTAAGTGGGTTTTGGCTAAATGGATAAGAAATGGCGTTTGGAAAGCAAGAAGAAAGAGAGATTCTATGTGTCAAATGGCTGGACTCGGATAATCCAATTCTTCACCCGATTTGCTCTCTAGCTCATTATGCATGTTTAACTTTGGGGCAAGTTTCTTTCTATAATAAAAGAGTGCTAAACCATCTTGCAAACATTTCGCTTTAGGCTTAGTTTAGAAGGAATATAAATACAAATATCTACAATGTAAATACATACAGAATACAAGATTTTGTACTTTACATATTTCTATTTGTGCTTCTTCCTATTGAATACTCCATCGCTACGATTGGACATACTCAAATTACTACAATTATCGTATACAGCTAATGAGGCAATGAGAGGTTGAATTTTGATGGGCCTATTTTAAAAAGATCACTCAGTGACAAGAGTCGACCACTGCCATTCAATATTCGAATTAATATATCCTTTTTGTACACAAGGAAAGCAATGAGTGAGGGATAGTTTGGTTATTTAACAATTTTAATGGAAGTTAAGATGGGTTAGTCGTTAAAAGTAGGGTATGGTGTGCAGGTGTTGGCTCTATTGTGGAAAGAAAAGTCACCGTCTTTATGCAACCCAATAGTCCATGAGAGACTTTTTGGGCTTTGTAGAGAAAGGAGAGGCCTGTGTTAGGGTGGAGCCCTCAGAGAGTGGTTGTCAAGGACTATGGCTTAATTTTGAAAGGGGTACAAATATAAATATGTAAAATGTAAAATCTTATATTTTGTATTATTTTGTTTGTATTTATACTGCACATATTTTTATCCCTACTCTTATCAAAGTTGTCCAGATCTAAAGGGATGTGGAAGTCTGAAGAAATTTGCCCAAATTTTGGAAGTCAGTCCTTATTGTTTCTCTGGAAAATGCCTTGCCTTACAAAGATGGTCATTCATCTGTGATTGAAGCCCGATATCAGGTTGGTATTAAAAGTGGTGGATTTCAAGATGTTGGACTCAAACCGTTATGTAGTTTGGGCAAGGTTTCTTGGAGAAGAAATCTTGAATGTGCAGAGAGGCAGTGTTTTGGTACTTGTTTTGACACAGACAAAGGAGTAGTAGATAGAGGACGATTGGGATTTGTAGTGGCAGAGCTCAATAGGACAAGGAGGAGGCTCCTCTTCTAGTTGGAGGTAAGTAGGATCAGGTGACCATCTAGTAAAAAAGAGCAAAGAGAGATTGATGTTTTGGGCAGGTGAGCAGACCATCGACGGTGTAGGGATAGATATAGGCGTTGCATTGATTTTTGGGAGAATGACTCATACTCCCAGTGTTAGAATTTGTAGGTTTATTGTGGGATAAATGGGGTCACTGTAACTTTGGAGGAGAAGCTTTGAAGCGCATCTGAAGACACTGTCTTTAGAACGTTATTTGCCCCCATTTAGTTTTACCAAGTTTGTTGTTGGGTTACAGGCAAATCCGTTCCCAAGATACAACAGAGCCTTGGGCGAGAATCTGCAACCAATAAAGTTGAAAAATCTCCAAAAAAACTTTCTGTGAGACTATAGCAGACTGGACTGAGAGAGAGAGAGAAAGTGGATTTCGAAATTGTGTATTTTTTTAGTCTGATTCATGCTCCTTAAATAGTTTATGAAGAGGTATGAAGAAAAGGTAGGTGTTGATTGAATTGTGCCTCTTGATCACACCTGATCGAATCGTGACCGTTGATCTCAACGGTGATCAATAGTCAGCATCGCACCAAAACCAAAGCCGCCCTTCGCGAGCCACGCGGGTGTGCCTCTAAAGCACCTCATAGTGTCGCACATGCGCGCGTGTTGTGCAGTATCAAACCCCCATACTCTCCTCTACTATTTCTAAGGAGTGTAAATCAACTCCTATTAAAATACTGAAAACAAAGCTTATAATTTTCCAATGTGGGACAAGTTTAAAACTAAGTTTCGTAAGAGAAAAAACTAATTTTTCAATCAAGTGTGCAGG